AGGCCTGGCGCAATATGGTTCATGGGGTCACGAAGAGTCGGACACGACTTAACGACTGAACAACAACAACAAGTGCAGTGGCCATCTTATGGTTGTCCTTTCTTGCACATTGGGGATTTGATCCAATGGTAGAACCAGTGGTGCCAGGTGGCCCCTTCAGGATGCCTTGGGGAGAAGACCTCCAGAAAAATCAAAACAAAGAGTGAAGCCGAGAACCATACTTTATCTGCACCATGTGGTTTTGGTTATTTCTTGGGCTAGGTCAGATGACCAGGAAGATAAGCTATCTAGAAAGACTACAGTTCTCTTCACCATGCTTGTGTTGTTGTTCAAGTATAGGAATTAAGTGAGAAATTCAACGTTAGCCCAGCAAAATGGACACGGCATTGGAAGGCATTCCTAAGGGAAGCTCCTGGGAGGAGGTTTCCTCCAATCAATAGCGGATTAATAGGTTAGACAGTCTCTTCTCCTGGCCTCTGAGATCCATGTTAAGCAGACAAGTCATAGATGAGCCCACATGGTGGGTATGGCTTGTCTTTGCCTGATTCAGTTAGATACATTGACCATCTCTTCTGTATGTGTGTGTGTTTTAATCCATAGATTTAAACTACTCCATTGTTAAATTTAACTCTGCCCCATGTCCTCCCATGAGACACCACAGCAATGACAGTTTGGCGGTGCAAGGTGAAGGGTTAGGATCTGTTTCCCCCTTCCCTGCTCCATTCAATATGGCCAGACTTTAGCTGTCCTTCAGAACAGGTGGCCAGGAACATGCCAGGCGGCCGAACCCTCCTTCCGTTTCTTTTGAGAAGCAAGGGGTGACTTCTCCAGCCCCGCTAGACAAAAATCATAGTTTTGGAACCTGCCATTGAGAAATGTCCCACGTTTCACCAAGATCATGTTTTGTAAGTTTTTGGGGTTAGGGCCCCCAGCACTGTTGGTGGCCAGAGATTAGCAAGTCCCTCTTCTTTGGTGCCACGTTTCTCTGCAACATGGAAGGGTGACAGCCATATCTCTTTCCTGGTCAGAGGGACCTGGGGCAGCCTCTGATTTCCAGGTGAACAAGAGATAAGGCAGTGTTTCTCAACCTTGGCAACTTTAAGATGCGTGGACATCAACTCCCAGGATTCCCCAGCCAGCATGGCCGCTATGAGAATTCTGGGAATTGAAGTTGGGGAAAGCTGTT